TACTGGAAGGGTCAATCGGCGCAGGGGATCATATGAGGTAGACTTGACAGACAAAACTGGGATTCGGGCGGTCTTCGAGGGTTCTTTTCTTATTCTGATTTTGGGCGGAGGTCTTGCATCGTGTTGTTCTCTCAAACCTGACGAAGATAGCTAGCAAGCATTCTACAAGTTTCGACATCTCTTTCCATCTCTTGCTTTTTCAGGAGACTGTTATTCTCGGAAATCAGAGGGGAGAATAAGAAACCTATATACGATAAATTTGAAGAAAAACAGAGAAAAGGAAAATCATTCAAGAGGAGCAAGAAAGGAAAGAAGAACAGAAGAACAGAAGAAAACAGGGAGAAAGAGAGGGACAGAGAGATTGATCAAGATCTGTGCAAAACACAAGAACGTGGAGAGACAAAGGAAGAAAAGGAAGAAAAGAAAAAGCAACAGAAGAACCAAAAAGAAGAGAATAATAGCATTGAGTGTGACCAATTGACACTCGTGAATTATACAGTGCTTCACCCAGCCTCATCTCATCCTCTATACCTCCCTTCGAGATCAGCATCCACCTGTGTATTTGTCATCATGTCGTCAGGACTAGCCTCTGACGAAGTCGCTGAGGATTACAAGAACTCATTGGAAGATCTAACAACAAACGACAGATTCCAGATCAGCAATCTTACGGTCATAGCGAAGGAGAACACCGAGCATGCCATGGCCATCTCCCGAGTATTGGAGAATCACATTCGAACAGTAGGTGACATACTCTTTCCCGGATTATACACTTGCTGGTGTTGTATTTTGCAAGGCGCACTGCCGGCAGTAGTCTTTCTGGATGAACTTCTAATCTTTGTTCTGTAGACGCCGCCGGCCCAGAAATTGCCCGCCTTGTATGTAGTCGATTCAATTGTCAAAAATGTAGGGACACCCTACACGCTTTTTCTGGGTCGCAATATGTACCAGACATTCATGAATGCCTATACCTTGGTCGACTCGCCAACTCGCAGAAAACTGGACGAGATGCTCAAAACATGGAAGGAGCCGGTCCCCGGTTCTCTAGATACGAGACCAGTCTTTCCTCCGGAAGTTACTCGCGGCATCGAAAGTGCGCTCATCAAGGCGAGGACGGCCGCCCTGCAGCAGCAGCAGGCGAGGAGCCAACAGGAAGTCCTTACTCGTGGGCGTGTTGGGACACCCCCAGGCTGGGGAAGTAACAGCGCTACAGCTCAGGGTTCTACTCGTTATCCACCATCCACAAATTCAACCCCGCCTACGGTTTATCGCAGGAATGGGTCCGGCCCTGGGTTTCCATCGGTAAGCTGTCATCACTTTGAATGTTGCCATATCATTATTGCAATGAAGTGTCTAACACATTCAACAGGCAGACCCGCGATCAACTCCAACACCTCAACTTCAGCAACAGCAACAGCAGGATGTGGACCTCTCAGCTTTGAATCGGGATATAGAGGCTTTAATTACAACTGCTCGAAACGATTTCGCGAATAATCCCCTCGACCCTTCTGTACAGCAACGGCTAAAGGCTCTTCTAGACCTCCAGGGTATCTTGCAACGCCAGGAACTTACTCAGGAGCAATTGAAGCTTGTGCGCGATCAAGTTTCTGCGCTTTCCCCAAAGCCCTCGATTTCAGTTTCTTCGACTCTACCCCCTGCTATTCCAGCGGTGTCAACACCATCGATGGCAATGCCTCCTGTGCAAGCTATTTCTCAGCCTCTTCAGCAGCTTCTAAACCCCGGGACACTTGCTGAGCTTATCAAAACTACTGCTGCGCGCCAGCAGCCTACGCCACCTCCTCAGGCTCAGAATATCTTGCCACAAGCACCTAGTAGTGTGGCATCGCAGCCAACTACTACTTTGACCCCGGAGAACCCACTCATTGCAGCGCTCAGAGCACGGGGGCTTTTACCCCCTGCTTCGGCACCTCCAACAACGTCCGCTACCCCTTCCTCAAACCTCGCTTCGGTCTTTCCTTTCATTGTGCCTGGCCAAGTGCGATTTACACCTCCTGTGTCGACGCCTCAAGTGACGGATACTTCGAATGTACAAATTAATGTCCAAATGAACACAGCGTCTATCAAAATGTAGGTTATGCTTATGTTTAATGATTCCGACGCCTCTGACGTGAGTGACAGACCACGAAACGCCTTCATAGCTACTCTTTATGAGTCAAAGCCCAATCGTTGTGGGACTTGTGGGCGTCGATTTTCTGCAACAGAGGATGGGAAAGGAAAGAAAGCGCGCCATCTAGACTGGCACTTCCGAACCAACCAGCGGATGGCAGAGGCGGCCAGGCGGGCTCAAAACCGCAGTTGGTATGTTGACGAACGGGTGAGTCTTCTCTTCAAACTTACCTGATTTGGGTTGCTGTTCGACTGACCCTCAGTAGGATTGGATCAAATCCCGAGAGGTGGGCGATGATGAAGGCCTTGTAGACACAGAAACATCCGGTGAGGCTGTAAATGGAAGTGATGGTGGTTCCGCGAAGAAAGGGCCGCCGAAGCAATGGATACGTGCTCCAAACGATGCCACTCTACGGAATACTCCCTGTCCTATTTGCCAGGAGAAATTCGAGTCAACATGGTCGGAGGATGTCCAAGACTGGATATGGCAAGATGCCGTCAAGGTTGGGAATCGCGTGTACCATGCTAGTTGCTATGCAGAGGTGACCAAAGACGGTTCCACGCCAGCACGCCGAGGTACTCCATCAGGGCGTACTGGAACTCCAGACTCCGTATTGGGCAAACGCAAGGCTGAGGTGAGTTTGCTAGAAGTGAAAAGAAAATCGAAGACTCCAGAGACTGACAGTGTGCGCTAGGGAACTGATTCCCCTGGCCAAAATGCCCGGGTCAAGTTGGAACCAATGTAAGGAATATCGTCTGGTCGAGAGGACTAGAATTTGCACTGTCTACTTAGTCCAGTCAGAAATCCGTGCCTCGAGCCCATCTTCCTTACCCCTAATTTCCTTCCCACCTTTTCTTTTCTTTTCTTACTTTTGCATTAGGACAGAGTCCGTACGGCGTCGCGGATCTATCTTCACTATCATGTGCTCCAACAACTGGAGTGTTTTGTATATATACATAGTAGCCAACATTTACTGGGACCTGCCTAGACTTGAAGCCCCAAGTCGAACCATAGTTCATCAATATAGTTCATCTTTCCCATCCGATAGTGTATTCTACTGTACTGTATTGTACTCTCCTCAGTATTTTGTAGGTTCCGTGAGGGGGCCGCGGGCAAATGACGGCGGAAATATTGTGGAGCACTCGTTTCTTTACTCCGCTATAGACCCTCCTCAGTACTACAGTTGCATTGCGCCCCATTATAAATCCACTACATCCTTTTTCCTCCAATGTTCTGATCGACTGCTGAATACTCTACCTATACACCCTCTTCGGTATCATTTTCCCATCATCTACTCCTCAATAACATATATCCAGCATAATACATCGCCTCGCATCATGGCTCCACATAACGTTCGGTGGGGTATCATGGGTAAGAGAACCTTGGCACAGCAGCAATCGATGATAACTAACGGCATCCTTTGGAAACTTTTATAGCCACCGGCTGGATTGCAAGTGGTACGTTCTCAGGCAATCACTTTTCTATCCCCGCCTTCCCCAAACAGAAAAAGAACACCCAGCTAAATAGAATATGTATTAAAACAGTCTTCGTAAGGGACCTCTTGAGAGATCCTAATGTCCGAGGTGCATCTGATGTCTCCCACACAGTTGTTGCAGTTGCATCATCTTCCTCCAAGTCCCGTGCAGAGGATTTTATCTCGGATACAGGCATTCCTGCTCCCTGCGCTGCCTACGAGTCCTATGGGGACCTCGTGGCCGACCCAAACGTAGACGTCGTATACGTTGCAACGCCTCACTCGCACCACTTCCAAAACGTCATGCTTGCTTTTGAGGCGGGTAAGCATGTTTTATGTGAAAAAGCTTTCACTGTCAATGCCGCCCAGGCAAAGATTCTCTGTGAGACAGCGAAAACGAAAAATCTCTTTTTAATGGAAGCCGTCTGGACTCGGTACTTCCCACTTAGCGTACAGATCCGGGAATTAATTCAGAATGGCACTCTTGGTGAGGTACTGCGTGTGCTGGCGGATAATAGCTTCGGAGATGACATGGAAGAAAAATGGGGTATCGAACATCGGATGGTTAATAAGGATCTGGCTGGCGGGGCGTTGCTTGACTGTAAGTTTTCCTGTCTTAATCGTATGCATATATCTACCCTTCACTTGATGGGCTCAATGCTCTTGTCATTTTCGGCACATCGCGACTTGTTACCACACTGACTCCATCTTGCAGTGGGTATTTACTCCTTGACCTGGGTCTTTCAGGCTCTGTATCACACTCTTCCCCGCGAGTCGCGCAAGGCACCCTCACGAATCTCATCACATATGTCCCTTTACCACCTCACTGGTGCTGATGAGGCAACCTCCATTTTACTTACTTTCCCCACCAGCACTCCATCCAACCTTCCTCACCTAGGTGAATCGCAGGCAGTAGCTATGACACATCTCCGAGTGTCGACCAATGCCGACGACAAGCCCGTCCAGCCCTCTGTCCGCATTCAGGGCACCAAAGGTGAGATCCAGGTATACGGCCCTGCGTTCCGGCCGGAGCGGTATCGGATTGTCCCGAAGGGTGAAGGGGAAGTCAAAGAGGTGGAATGTTCATTCCCTGGTGACGGAAAGGGCATGTACTGGGAGGCGGACGAGGTCGCACGGTGCTTGCGGGATGGTAAGCTTGAAAGTGATGGCATGCCATGGGAGGAGAGCATCATCATTATGGAGGTGATGGATGAGGTCAGACGTCAGGGTGGATTGGTTTATCCTGAAAACATTGAATCCATAGTCTACCCTACACGGTTGTAAGAGGCGGTCTGTATCGTGTGGAGAACAAGCATGCCTTTGTTCAGAAGTGTGTAAATATCCTTAGTACTAACGATTATATAAATAAAACGTACTAGAGTTAAATTAGAAAAAGAGAGGGACCGTCTAAAGCAACTTATATTTTAGGTTCCGAGATTAGCTACTATACATAAAACCAAATCTCCGCCGAAAGCAGCCCAGGTACGAATATCCGAAGGATACAAAAAGGTCCATGTACCAAAAAGGAACCTCCCCAGAAGGACCAAATAAGGCGGCAGACCATTCGTTTTAAAACTTTATACCCTATCACTTTTTGTTGGCCTCCCCGACGGAGGGACGCTTACCCCTCAGCGAAAGAAAAGAGAATCATTACATTTATTTGTTCTGCCGGAAAACGCCGAGGAGGCTCTTCCACACTTGACCCGGTTCCTGGCTAGCATCAATTCCCCGCCAGATACCAGTCTTTTTATAATAATCCACGACAGGGGCGGTTTGGGCATGGTATGTTCCAAGACGCTTCTTAAGGGTCTCAGCATTGTCATCAGATCGCTGAATGAGAGGCTCGCCGGTGATATCATCCTTCATCTCCTCTTTAGGAGGATTGAACACCTTATGGTAGGAGCGTCCAGAAGCCGGGTGAACTAGGCGTCCAGTGATTCTTGCTACCAGCAAGGCATCATCGATCTGCAGCTCGACGGCATGCTGGAGTTTCTGTTGACGGACAGCAAGCATATCATCCAAACGCTCGGCCTGAGCAACGGTACGAGGGAAGCCATCTAGGATGAAACTGGGCAGACAAGTAGTCAGTATGTGTCGATGAAAAAGTTCGAAGCCATTTTTTTTTTCTTTCTTTCTTTCTTTCTTTCTGTCACTTATACGAACCCGTTCTTGCACTCTGCGTTGTTGTCCAGCTCGCTCTTAATCATATTGACCATGATCTCATCACTGACTAGACCACCCTGATCCATGATCTTCTTGGCCTCTTTGCCCAGCTCAGTCTTCTTGGCGACCTGAGACCGCAACATATCTCCGGTAGCCTACTCAGTAAATGTAAGTCTCAGAGCCTTTCGATAGATACCAGCAATCAATCTATCAGTCAGCTACTTACCAAGTGGCACACACAGTACTTGTCCTTAAGTGCAGGTGCCTGGGTGCCCTTGCCTAGTTCAAGGGCGGGTCAGAATTCCGAAGCATTTTAACCCGATAATATCTGGAATAGAAAATTTATAGAGCATACCTGCACCAGGCGGACCCATCAGAACCATGCGCATCTGTTCTGCAACAGACTTGGGTTTAGAATCATTGCTTAGACGGCTTTCCAATTCCTCAACCCGAGCCTCGAGCTTGCCGATAATATCCTTAAGACCGGAAACGGCCTCTTCCGTGATAGGAGCCATTGGGATAAATTAAATCGGAGAGTAAAAGGGATAGTATTGTAGAAGTGCTCTCCGGGGAGGCCTAAGTCGGACTCGGTGTGGGAAATAGTATAGGGATTATGAATGGAATGGGGAGCAATGACGGGTAAATGGAAAGGTCGGAGACTGTATGTTGGGGATGAAAAGAGGTCAACCGGAGCGGAGTATCGCACCCGCTTCTCCGAGGTTTGAAGATCCGCCGGCAAGTGCCGTACTCGCGGTGTTTGACCGGAATTTCTTCATTCCCAGGGTATCGGTGAAATAAACCGCGTCGGAAAATTTGAAGTTCAATGTGTATTGATGTATATCCAGCCTGAGTCCAAGCTTAAATTGCAATTAGTCAATTGTGACCCTCCGTTTCAAAAGTCATAGCGGGTATTGTGAAGACACGTGTCTGTAGGAAGCCTTAGGCAACAAGGTCAAATGTGTGGCTACAGGGATAACTAGTAGCTCATCAGCCTCATTGATGTGGCTCAAGCAGGGTCGGAGCTCACTCAGCTTCACCTCCGTCATCATCAGTCTTCCTCTAATCATCATCATTCCTTCTTCCCTCTCAGGACTTTCGCTCTCCCAGGCTTTCTTTTCTTTTCACCCCTATCACGCATACGTCTGACTTTTGTCTCATCTCACATCCACTTAATAACTAGTTCCCGTGTCTTCTGATTCCGCCATGCCTGCCACCACGGCGGACACCCTTTCCCTCGTCACGCGAACCGTCACGGTCGCCCCGTTAGTGCTCCTCTCAGTCGCAGATCATTATGGTCGCTCGGCCAAGGGAACTCGCAAACGTGTGGTGGGAGTATTGCTGGGGGAGAACTCGGGTCAAAATGTTCGAGTATCAAACAGCTTTGCGGGTACGTTTCGCTGTTGATTATTAGTTACTATCTCTGTTCCACTTGTCATACCATACCTGCTAATACTTTTACCCTCAGTCCCCTTTGAGGAGGATGAAAAAGATCCCTCAGTGTGGTTCTTAGATCATAATTTTGTCGAATCGATGAGAGACATGTTCAAGAAGATAAACGCTCGTGAAAAGCTCATTGGATGGTATCACTCGGGCCCGAAGCTACGGGCCTCTGACCTAGAAATTAATGAGCTATTCAAACGATACACACCCAATCCTCTGCTGGTGATTGTCGATGTCCAACCAAAGGAGGTCGGCGTGCCGACAGACGCCTACTTTGCCGTGGATGAAATCAAAGATGTGAGTAGCTTTGCACAAAACCTAGAGCGTGAACATTCTTTTTTTGGGGGGGTCTTGTGTCATCTGCTTACTATGACTACTATTTATAGGATGGCACCACCACTTCCAAGACCTTCGTTCATACCCCATCCATAATCGAAGCAGAAGAGGCGGAGGAGATCGGTGTTGAGCATCTTCTCCGAGACATTAGGGACGTTGCTGTCGGTACCCTCTCCACTCGCATAACGTCGCAGCTGCAGTCCCTGCAGGGCCTTCATCTACGCCTGCGGGACATTGGGCAGTATCTGCAGAAAGTGCTTGACCATGAGCTACCCGTCAATCATGCCATACTAGGCAACCTTCAAGATGTCTTCAACCTCCTTCCCAACCTATCGACCCCACCAGTGACACCACGCCTCAGCGGGTCGGAACAGCAGTCAGAGAATAGCGAGCTGGCACGTGCCATGAGTATAAAGACCAACGATCAACTAATGGCTATCTACCTGAGCAGTTTGATCCGCGCCATCACTGCCTTTCATGATTTGATCGAGAACAAGATCCAGAATCGACAACAGCAAGAAGAAAATGAGCTGAAGAGGGAACAGGAAACCAATGCCGCTAGGGGCGAAAAGGAGGCGAAGAAGGCGAACGGGGCCATGAATGGAGAGCAAAAGGAAGAGCTGGATGGATCCAAGGAAAAATACAAGAAGAAGGGTCAATAAAATACTAGCCGGGCTATTGAGTCAATGTGATACGATTTAAAGCTACTTAGTCCGACATCGAAATGTAGAGGGCTGTAACGCTACTCTGATCAGGCTTCATCAAATCGACTTTTAAGAATCTGACTTGAGGCCTTGTGCCGGTTCCCAATACTCATGACACTGTTGAAAGCTGAGTTTCGGCACAAAACCCCCCGCGCCCCTTCTCTTTCACTCCCAAATCAACGAGACCGAGACAAGAGAGTTATTAGCATATGTATTTACATCTTGGGCTTTCAGTTCTTCGTTATTTCAGACCCAGCCATCAAAAGTGAGCTCGAGGTCGGTTTGTATACGTAGACGGCTGAGCAGCAGGCCAGGTCCTCTCTGCACGAGATCGACCTCAAATTTTATGCTGTCCAATATCCCATAACTCCATGGCATAGCATTGCGTTCATCTGCCGGACACCATCTATATAGGCTATTCGGAGAGTCTATGTCCCCCTGGTATGTACACGGCTCTCGCGGAACAAGATGTGAATATATAGCGCAGTCACACTGGAGATTGTGACCGAGGATAGGCGGTGAGCCAGTATGTCATGAGGATTGCTATGATGCATGCGACCTAGCTGATCATCCGCCCCAACCAGCACACCAACCTCCCAGCTCCTGTGCACCGACGACGATTCGATCGTGATCGTCTGCAGAGGGCCCACTGATTGCGGGACAGCGCACCGCCAATACACAAGCAAGGAGATGCTTGCATACTGGATACGACCACTTCACTGACCGCCGAGTCAAGCTTCCGCCGAAAGGGTAATAATAATGCACGCCGGGCACATGGTGGGATTGCGAGATATCACCACTAGGAGGATCATCCCCTGGACCTAGGTCGCGGAATGCGGCAAACGTGAATGTTGGGCAGGTGCAATTCCACGCTTGTAGTCGAACTTCGTAGCCTTTTTGGTCTGCATTTGGACGAAGAGATACTGGCAGAGACTCCCCAGGTGAAGGACTGGTAGCCGTAGACATTGAAATAACGAAGAACAAGTCTTCAAGTGGAGGACGCCTCCCATTCAGTCTTGACTCGCCGAGGCTTATTGGCTCGGAAGCGTCGGGGCTCCGAATGCTACAGTCCTCCCTCATGAAGCGCCTAACTAGGCCTCGGTCCAGTATATCCAGAGCAAGTAGAAGTTCATTGGGGAAAAAACAGTGGAGAGTCAGCATTAGTTGTTTCACGTTTGCTGCATGGCCTGCTGAGAAGGCGGAGAACGGACGCTGTCTTTCAGGGTTGATCTCGTCTTCTGGGTTAGCGGTACGTTCCGAGAGCTGCGAGATCAAATGCTCAATGAAGCGTGTAGTTGAAGGTAAAGCATTATCCGGAGGGTTTAGGGTCTCCATTCGCTTAGATCGACTGGTTAGGATCTGATAATGCCGGTGGGTTATTCGTTCCAGAGGAATGCCGGATCCCGGTTCAGATCAATTTTATCAGAAAGAGTCACAATATACTATGGTGGTAATTGGCTGCTAGGAGTTAGGAACTCTGCAGAAAAGAATGAAAAGAAATATATACAGAGAGAGAGAGAGAGAAACCGGGACTGAGCTAACCAATTCAAGATACTGAACTCATAAAAAAAGTAAAGAACAGCATACCAAAACCGCCAAGGGAACCTTAAATCCTAAGTAAACCTACCGTGCAGTGCAGCCTTGTCATATGGAAACGTCGGCCTTCAGTTTTTGAGAATGAACATCTGCTGCCCGTTGAAAAGGGCCTTTATCGACTATAGCTGGAGTTCTGAGTGTTTAATAGTAACCTTCCTTGACACCGCGTCCTTAGTTTTCGTTGCCATCCGTTTCTCTCTGAAATCCTTTCTAATAGCTTGGGGGTATTGTATACTTAGCAGCTGTGTACTTATGCGCCCTTCACCTTTCTCGTCGATAGCTACGAACATAGAGGTCATCTTGATTTGAACCTTCGTTCCGGGGCCCCAGTAAACTAGAGACTAAATGTAGTAATAGTTGCTGCCCGGTTGTATATTCGTAATCAATTCTCTCGACCTCGATGGTTCCCGTCAGGCTCATTATTGCGTTTTCATGTCTCTCATAGGGCTCTGGTAAAGCTAGAACTGATGGACAGGATGGAAGGGGAGGGCATCCTTTCCTGGGAGATACGGGATGAGTGAATCATGTGTAGTAAAACATTTTAAACGAGACAGCGTGGAAGTATTTCCAGTCTATGCCTTGTAGAGCACCCTACTAGGTGCTTATTGCGGTTCCCTTGAGATAATTCCAAGTCCTAGAAACTTCATTCTGGAACAGTAACAAAGTCTGTTTCATTATCATTTTATTGGCGGTTCTCGGTCCAGTGAGTTCTAGCAAGTCTACCGAAGCAGCAAATAAACAAGAAGATTCGCCTGGGCAAGATGATTCATTGAAGCGAATCCGCAGTTAATCCATAGATGGTAGGGGTATTACATAACCTATAAGATAGAATTGCGGTAACGAAGGAAGCCTAGGTCCTTAAATCCTCCAGGTTCATTCGCTGTCGTACAGGTTGTATCCCAGGCAGGTGAAGTAATTCAGGGTAAGGAATGACTTAAAAACACGAATTGATTTATATTATAATTACTCCTATGTCTCAAGGAGATTCCGGCAAATAGTGAGTGTAGCTGATTTTACCTGTGAATGAATCGGCCCCAAAGAGTTGAAATGAAACTGATGATGTATACTTAAGTACAGGCATCTATCTGAAACCGCACGTATCGATTTGTCTGGACCTAGCCCTCTGCCGAGACTTCTAGGGTACCATTTATTGCAGTTAACTCTCTGATTTCCAGACGAGAAACGAGAGATCCATCCCGGGATGAAGATACTGTGTAATTGCCATTAGTACAACCATGAAAACACAATCATAATTTACCAGAATAATTTATTCCGTAAGTCAAGCGCTTCCCCCCACAACATGGCTTTCGCTTCGAGTCATCACCTGTGGATCTCTGGATCCCTACTCTACTTTGACCCCTCAGTAAGATTAATTACGGTAATTCAATCATACCTTTCCCGCTAGCTTCGATGGCCTGATTTCGCCCAGTCGAGAACTTGATGAGACAAATAACAGCCCGTCCCTTCTGGCCGAATGAAATGGGATTGGTTGGAAGACTAAAAATTTCTAAGAAGGGGTTCCTCTAACGCAGATACCCCAATGAAACAATTCTTGGCAAGTCATATCCTCATACTCTGCGTCGTTTATGGTTCGCGGTCAACGTATGTACATAAGTACATACTGGTCGAGAGGTGCGTCCATCCATCCTTTTCATCTAACCAGTTAGCTCACACCACTAGTATTATCGTATTCCAAGTCAAATCCATCGACAACAACGCTGACAGCAGGCTATCTCGAGAATTCTTGTTTATCATTTTGCCCTTCTTCGGGGACCCGTGCATCTGCACTCTCTTAACGGGAGCAAAGAAGAGAAAAGAAATAGGTCAATAAACCTTTGCTCAAAGCCTAAGGTTAACAGCTCACCACAGTAACGTTCATTCTTAGACTGAGACAGTTAAATTGTTAATTTTGGAAGTATCAAGTCGATGATATTAGAGCGATCGACTCGATTCATAAGCATGTTGAGAATTAAATATATCACCGATGCAGAGAACTGTATTGGTGGCACTTGATCGATACCTCACATATACAGACAAAGAGCCTGGCACAGGGGGGGGGGAGGGGAATGGAATTCGATAAGAAGAAGAACAAGAAAGTCGAGGGCAGTAGTTAACAAATCGGACCAGAATCGGATTCATGAGCGCCCCAAATTGTCCCATATCTGGAAGGTGACAGCTGAGTTCCTCGCTCAGAAACTCCATCCAAGCCCACACGGAGCTCCATCACGCATCTCATGGGCCAACCATATCGTTGGAACTTCAAGATATGGGCCCCAAACCGAAAGCTGGCGTTGCCTTCCCCCATAATTCCCTTAAGTGTCGCACTTCTTAACAAATCTAGGCCCTAGCTAATGCGCAGATCCACCCTTTGTTGGGCAGCGGCGAATGTCAACCGTTTTCACCCATAACAAGTACACCTTTCAGCTTTGCCACCAAATGACGATCCAGTGCGTTTCATATTTTCAAGGAATCCATCCTCTTAAATTGCCCATTTCCGGTATTGGTCTCTGTTTAGTACGTATTATAACTCCACTGGCCAGTCCAAAGCTAATCCGCAGATTCTGTATGAGTTAAGGATTGACTACTTTGTAGAGACTCAACAAGCGAATGACTGAGTGGAATTGGTAGGCTGGGGCCAGTTGATGGCGTACTTACTACTTACTACTCAGTAGAGAACGTTGCTGATTATTATAGTAACAACGACGATCATCATAAAGAGGACACAATCACATATTGGTGATGGGTCCTTGTGATCGAAATGGTTCGGTAGTTGAAAATGGGAAGTGCACAGAAGACACTTGGTATCTTATCTGTACGAGGTACTTCTACAGAGTAGTCCTACCTAAAACTACTTGTTCTTCATAAGCAAACCAAATCCCAAGTTTCAAAGGCAAAAAAAAAAAAAGACAAAAAAAAAGAGGAAGCAGAGGAAAGAATGGGAAGAGAAAAAAAAATGAAGCAAAAGATAGTACTATTCACACACACACACTCTCTCTCTGTCACAACTGCATCCGATACTAGTGGGTAAAGAGAGAAAAGCAAAAGCGAAGGAAAAGAGGAAAGGGAAAGGGAAAAAAAAATATGTGGGGCTGTCGGACATTTTTGTTGACGATCATTGCGTGCCGGGAATAGCTCAAGCAGTAGCATCCCTGTCCGAATCCACCACGTTGGAGCCAGTTATGTTTGTCTGTTCCCCCAATTTGAAAATCCGAACCGATACTCGCCGCTTTTTTTTTTTTTTTTTT